AGATTATCACTTCAACAGTCTCTGAATCCAAGTGCTTAAGTAACTTCCACCAGTTCACTGGTGTGACTTTCTTTGAAACATCATCAGCAAACATATTTCTTGAATGCTTCACCCTTAACTCTGAAGTTTATTATAGTTGGCATTATGGAGGGATGATTGCTGGATGTCTATGTCATAGCCAACTTCTCCTCTTCAGCAGTTAAGGTTTGACCCTGGTACTGAGTATTGAGAATATTTGCAAGAAAATGAGCTGGAGATAGTGCTTGTCCCATTTGTTTTTTTAATGCTTGTAATTTAACTCTGTCATTGCATATTTCTCTTTTTAAGAGTTCCTTCCTTCCAAACTGAGTTCCTCAGTTCCTTCCAAATTTCAACAGCGTTAACAATAAAACAGCTATTTCCCTGCATTTTGTTCAAGACTACAAAAATAGGATTCAGGGTACTCCGCATGTGTTCAACATTTCTCTTAAGCTCAATGTTGAGAACTTTGGCTGTGACAGCGCCATCTATTTTTTCACAATTTTGTTCACAAACTGTCATCAGATTAGGCCAGTTCTTGCTATCGTGCTCAACACAGTCCACTACTGAGTTCCATTGCACATCTTTTGGGAGAGTTAGCTTGGTTCCTCCCACTTTTTTCAGAGCAGCTGCTGCAAAGTGGTTGTTACGGAAGTATTTTGCAGTTCCAACAACATTGGCCTTTATTTCCGGAACACTGAAGTCTTTGGCTAGGATGTGCATCAAATGAGCAATGCAACCTTATGTTATTAACTTGGGACTCTTCACTCTCTTCTAAATAATTTCTTCTCATCTTGGATAAAAATATATGGTGATATACCTATCTCCTAGATCTGGAAGGGACCCTGAAAGGTCATTGAGTCCAGCCCCCTGCCTTCACTAGCAGGACCAAGTATTGGTTTTGCCCCAGATCCCTAAATGGCCCCCTTAAGGATTAAACTCACAACCCTGGGTTTAGCAGGCCAATGCTCAAACCACTGAGCTATCCATCCCCCCCTTGTCTGTGACCAAGCTGCGTACTAGACATTTGAATTTTTTTTTCATAGTTTGTTATAGCTTTTACTGCTACTTCTTGTGAGTATTCTGCTGTGTGTGCATTTCCTGATGTATCAATTGTTTCTGTAAGGAAAACATTCCCTTCTTCTGTTCTCACACAAGCACATACAACAGGATCATTGTGGACATTGCTCCACCCATCAGACTCAGGTTAACAATTTTACCCTCTAGACCTTTTTGCATACTGCTCCATTTCTTTCATAGTTGTTACTCTATGGTACTATCATTTTAGATACAGTTGTGATAAAAAATAAATAGCTGAAATAGGCAGATCTTCCTTTTACAATTTCACCTTTAAATTAGCACTGAGTGTCAGTGAATACAATGAGTAATACTAAATGAGCAGTATGGTAATAATAATTAAATAACTGCATTGACTTATTTTGTTTAGGAGAATCCATCCTCAACATATAGGATTCTGAAGACTATCACCATCATTTTCTGTAGTTTCAGAATTAACTGCCCATAATAGTGTTTGTCCCATAGCCACAGTATATCACTTGTAGCAAAAAGAAAAAAAAATACTCCATAATCCAGAAACAACCATAGATAAGTCATAAGAACCAACAGATTACAAAAAGAGGTAATTGATGAAAAAATTGCTGTTTTGTTTATGCAACTAACTCTCCTTTCCCTATGACTGAGAAACCACACTTCATTAACATGGTTCAGTCAATGAAGGCTACACTCAGAAAGACCTCAAGACTTCTGGAATATGCTGCTCAGACAGTTTCACTTTTGTTTCTACTGCCTGTCCCTCCCTTCTCACATTTATCTCCAGGCTTCTCCTTGTCCAGATCTATTCCACCCCCAACAATCTTCTATTCATTAAACTTTTTGAAACTTTGCACTTTTAGAGAGAGGTAAGGGATTGACTCTGTGTACACAAATTTGCAGAGGTACAGTAGGGTTCAGGTCTGTTATTTCTCACCTCTATATATTATTTATGTATTTATTTAAAAACATTTTTGCTGTTAACAAGCATGTTCTCTCTGGAGACACAAATTCACAGTTTGAGAACTGCAAAACTAAGCATCTCTGATGGTATCTTCTAGACTGAGCACTGAGTCCCATTGGGTAGATAGAAAGATTAATTTAAATAATCTATACAGAAGCCCCTGGAACCCAATAAGACTGGGTCCCTAATCCATGAACTATTGGAACTCATTTACAAAACTTTTCTTAAACATTACATGAATGTATGGTCTCATACTACAGATTTAGAATTTATCATTCCTATTCCATGATTAGATATCTTTGAGCTGTAATGTATCTTAATTAAAACTATCTTTAGATTGATTTTTTTTAATCTGATTGTTTTTATTTAAATCTGATTTTTGAGGGGAAAACCTTTGATTTTTATCCACCCTGTTTTTAAATACAGAAAAACAAATACTTACATAAAGATTAAACTTCCCCCCCTCTCTTCCCCAAAAAGAAACCCCAGCCATTTCCCTCATATGCTGCCCCTTCATCGCCCAGCTAGAAGCATCAAAATATTTTCTATGCAGGAAGCCTTCATCCACCCTCTTCTATTCCTGAATAAAGGAACTGGAAATATGAAGCAAGGAAAACCAAAGAAATAAAAATGCCTCAAGCAGGTGATTCCCTTCAGACCAGATGGATTTTTTTATCTAACAAGTTCTGTACAGAGTGAGCATTTTAGTTAGATAACAAGAATAAAGGGAACAGGGAATTTGTCCCAAGCTAAAAATAGCTAATAAAGTATGCCATCCATTTAAAACCACTTAGCTTCAAAACAAGGCAGCAGCACAGCAAATATGCAAGAGAAAACATCATGTTTTCCCAGTAGATCAGTGCAAGGATAGTTTTGTGTGAGATGATGAGGGTGCCTGAATTTCCCAAAAGTAATATCCAATGATTATGAAGCACCCTATATATAGTGCCTTCCTCAGATGGCACTATGTAAGTGCTAAGTATTATTAATCCCATTTTTAACATTTCACCATCATAGACTCTGACATTCTTTCCAGCAGGGCTCTCAACCTCCATCTCTACTGGGATGGGTACCAGGAAGTTCCTTCAGAGTCTACCCATTTCTGGGATTCTTCATTATGTTGAAACTGAAGTTTAGTAACATAGGAAATACTTCCAAGATTTTATGGGTGTAATAAAAGATGCATTACAAGCTACAAATTACTAGAACACATTATAGAGTCCTAAAAAAGCCTGTCTCTCGTCTTTACTTCTCTGAATCTGGAAAACAATGATGAAAAAGTGATGCAGAGCTTAAATTCTGCTGCAGTGGTAAAAGATCCAGGTCAGATTCTACTGCAGTCTCCTGAGATGATTTTTTTTTAATACAACTTCCTACACAGCTAGGTTTATTGAATAGAATATGAATTCCAAGATTTAGTGCTTGTGATTGACAAACTTTTCTAAGGTTCCCTCCCCTTTCCCTTGATCTTTTCTAAGTGACAAGAGACTGATAGAATGAGACAAAGAGTTGACAGTTTTCCCCACCTTCCACAGAGCTTCAAAAAGTACATTTTTCAGAGAAACAGTATCAATATACAGTGCTCTGAAAATGGTGTAGAATGTGGTAAAACTGAGCATAGGAAAAGAATTACCATTACTACAGATTTGTATCAACACAATGCTTTAACTGAGTCTTTTTAGCAAGGAGAAAGGTCAGTTCTTCAGCCCTGCCATTAAAAACCAAACAAAAAAAGGTTATCTGAATTCCCAATGCTAAATAAAAATACAGGGCTTCTCGTGAGTGTTATAACTTTGTAACTGTCTCAGAACTAAAGCAAAGTACAGAGAAGAATTGGAACAGTTCACACTTTGAGTACCAGCAACCACTTAGGAGAACAGACTTTTGAAGCTGTTCGGCTTTGTATAAATACATAAATAGAAATTGGGCTAGAGAAAATGAGAAAGAATGGCTCTAGAGCCTGGGGGTTAGAGCACTATTCTGAGAGATGGGAGACCCAAGGTTCAGTCCCCCGTCTTCAATGACTAATTATTTATCCAAAAAGTGGAACAGCTTCAACAGGAAAGATTGCAGGGCACCCACACAGGAATATCCCAGAGCCCATTTGTATGGCAGTCTCCTGAGAGGTGGGAAACACCTGTTCAAATCCTCTCTCCCCATCAGGCAGGGGGGAAATTGAACCTGGATCTCCCACATCCCAGGTGATGCTCTAACTAATGGGCTGAAAGTTATAAAGGAAGCACCACCACCCTGTCATCACTTTTGAATGGACCCCAACACTGAACCAGGCCCTGCAGGCAAAAGGGATGGGGGTACATCTAAGATCCCACTGAGGGTAGGCATGAAAGATGTATCCCGAGGCTTAGAGTGAGGTGTTGTGTGCATGACCAAAGGCAGAAACGTAGACACTTTACAACAAAAAAATTTAGTTGCAGAGAGTTCATAAGCCTACAGGTTTATGCAGCAGCGCAGTGGGGGTTTTGTGGATTGCAGTGGCACCTAAATTTAGGGCTTAAATAACTAAATCCCTTTGTGGGTACCTTTAAATATGATTTTAAAAATCAGAAAAATAACTGGGATTATGATGGATCTTGGTCTGAAATACAGACTTAGTTCATGTTAGGCTTGATGGGTAGGTCCTGTGGTGGAAAAATAAGAAGTGTGTGTCAGGGGTTAAAGGCAGGGCATAGCTAGGAGGGGGTAGCCCTGGAGCTCATTGTACTGTGGGAATTCTGGCCATCACTCAAGTCAAGCTGCTATAAATTAGACCAACACTCTGAGCCACCTCATTCAGGCCAGGGGCCATTTTGGCTTCCAGTGCAGTCAGAAATCAGGAAGGTGCAAGGTGGCTTGAAGCCACATTTGTCCTCACTCCTCTCCAGCACTGAGAGTTTTGTGCTACACTCCACAAGCCCCAGCACGTAATCCTTCCCTGTACATGTGCCTGCTTGACTCAGTACAAACCCAATATTTCTGATAACTGAAAGGGAACAATGCATTGTGTGGCCTAATATAATTCACTTAGAGTTCAGTATTGTATCTTTTTTAGTTACATTTAATATCAGGTTATTCAAATAGTATCTGCAATAAAAACAATGCTTCTTTCAAAATGGGTGTTTTCTCTGGGTAAACAGTTGCCTATAACAATGTAATACTTTTACTCTTTTTACCTTTGTACCAAACAGTGAGAGGAGGAGCCAGCTGTGAAAGGCAGCGTTGCTGACTTTGCTGCTTACCAAGATTATTAGGAGGAGAAGGGGAAGGACAGACAGACATGTCTTCAGAAACAGCCCAAAGTAAAGTTCAGGCACCTTCACAGCAACAAAACAAACAGGTACATTGGAGTTGCTTCCCCTTTATCTGGCTGTTTAGGGCAAGATTTTAGTCCTTTAGAAAATACTTGTCATATATAAAGCTTTTACATTTTCCCAAGAAAGATGGCCTCATTTCAGAAGGCCTTTTTGTGAGATATTTTCTTTGTGATACAAGCAAGATTCTGGGAGGCATTTATTCACAACCAAATGAAAATGCAGAAGCTAGTAATACAGTATTTTACAAAGTCAGTGGGGTTGCATAGGTGTAACTGAGGGCAGCCTTTGATCTTATGTTTAAGTTTAGTTTAATACAAACTGACAAAAACAATAAAATAAATCTTGTGGCTTAAACTCTACCCTAAAATGGCTACAGGTCTGCCCATGCTTCCCTCCTATACCTGGAATATACAGCATTTATGGTGTAAAATATTAAATGACAATGTCCAGTCCTGTAGACCACAGATAGGTTAATTATAGCATCGCAGCTTTCACTTTGTACTTCCTTGAATAGCTCTTAATTTTTAGCATGATATTTTTCTACAGAATTAAATATATAAAATGTGAAAAAACAAAGCCTGCATTCTGTTAAAATGTCTCCTAATGTTGATAACAGATCTAGTCCATGTCATTAAGTGTGTTTAAGGACTTCTACCGCTTCTGCTGTGCTGAGATTTTGCTTTTCATATTTCAATCCAAAGTACATTTTTACACGAGTTAGAAATTTCTAAAAAACTAGGTTGATAATAAAATATGTATTGATGCTATATAACTGTAGGTAATTTAAATAGAGTTTATAGTATCCCATACAATATTAAAAATAGAGCACATTTGGTTTTAGAATCATAAGTTCTTGCACAATTTTCTATATATATACAGTAACTCTTTGCTTAATGTTGTAGTTATGTTCCTGAAAAATGCTACTTTAAGCAAAACGATGTTAAGTAAATCCCATTTCCCCATAAAAATTAATGTAATTAGGGGGAGGTTAGGTTCCAGGGAAATTTTTTTGGCCAGACAAAAGATTTAATTTTTATTTATATTTATATGTGCGTGTGTACACGTACGTACACACACACTAAATTGTGGTGGAATCAGAGGGTGGGATATTTCCCAGGGAATGCTTTGCTGCTAAATGATGAACTAGCACTCAGCTGAACCCTCAAGGGTTAACACATTGTTGTTAATGTAGCCTCACCCTCTACAAGGCAGCAGTAATGGAGGGAGGAGATAGCATGGCAGTGGCTGCAAACATTCCCTGTGGAAACTGACCGTGATGATGACCCCACGCTCTCCCATTGGAGTGCACCACTCCCTCCACTTTCCAAAGTGTGTGAGAGTGAGAGACGCACATTGCTCCTTTAAGTATGCTGACCCCACTCTAAGTACACTGCCTTTTTATGTAGATCAGCAAGTTGAGACAGCAGCTGCTGCCACCGCCAGCAAGCTCCCTCACTCCTGAGCCTTGTCATGTCTCCCTCCTCCCCAGCTCTGTGGAGATGGGGTACGGGGGAGTGGGACACCCTGACATCAGCACCCCTCTTCCCCCTGCACAGCAAGCAGGAGGCTCTCGGGAGCAGCACACAGCAGTTTGGGGAGGGACACCTGAATTGCCCGGCAGCTGCCACACAGGAACTTAGGGGAGCTGATAGGGGGGTTGCCAGCCCCCCTTGGTTCCAAGCTCCCACCACTAGCTCCAACAGGCTGCTGTTCCTGCAAGCAGTGGACAAAGCAGGTGGCTGCCAAACAACGTTATAAGGGAGCTTTACGCAACTTTAAATGAGCATGTTCTAATAGATCAGCGATGCAACGACAAAATGATATTAACCATGATGATGTTAAGTGTGGAGTTACTGTATTATACTTCTCTGAGCTCTATACAAGGTTTCAGTATGCTCATGTTCACAATTTCTGGAAAAAAAATCCAGCCTTCTTTCTGTTACGGCCCAGACTCCGTGCCAAATTCTGCTCAGTGCAGAGAGGGCAGTCAGAAAGCCAGTTACAACCATCTGCTAATTATAGTCAAGCTATCTTGGTCCCAGTCCCAATCCCAGCTAATCTGCTCTAGTTTATGCCAGCTGGCTATGGTTCCCAAAGGACCGGTAAGAACCAGTGGAGCACAGGTGCTATCTGGCTCATCCTCAACATCCAAATCAGGTGGAGTGGAGGGGGGAGGGCAGTTGGCATAGGATTTGGTTACACTGCTTTACACCAGCTGCAAACTCCCCTGTGCTGAAGAAATCTCAACAGGCCTGTTAGGGCCAGATTCCACCACTTTGTGCCATAAGTGAACATTTAACTAAGTAATTTTGATATGAAATAACCCTGTTCATAATCATTTACTTCCTTATCTGTACCATTGTAGAGCTTTTATTATATTTGACATAGTTTATGAGCGGTACAAGTTTCATATACTATACTATGACCTTATGTGACAGGTTTGCTCTACTCACTGCTGGATGGCATCACCTGCTGGTGGTTCTGGGGATTAGCTTAGTCAGGTCAACACCCCTTCCAGCAGGTATATCCCATCTGTTTCTCCTCTGCAGCCTCTCTCTTGCTCTCAGGAACTACAGCAGTCCTCTTTGTAAGTCAACCCTCTGGCCAGGTCACTCAGCATTCCCCCCTTCCTGGGTACAGTCCTTCAAATTCTGTCATTCCCACAGTGACCCCAACAGTCTTCCAGTTCACTGCCCCAGTGGTGGGTAGGGGAACCCAGGCCCACCGTCTACTCTGGGTTCCAGCCCAGGGACTCTACAACATGCAACCAAGGTCTGCTCAGTCTCAACCTCGCTGCTTACTCCCTGGGCTGCTTCCTACCCTAGCACTCCCCCACTCTCTGAGGTTTGCCAACCACTCTACTCCCTCCTCCAAGGGAACAACCATTGGCTACTTCCTCTATAGCCACCAAACACACCTCCCCTCTCCCAGGGAGTGACTGTATACCACCTTCCTGCAACCCCTTCTGCTTCCAATTTCCTATCTTTTGTAGAAGCCCACCTGTCCTTCACACATAAGCTTCTCTCTAATTAGTTGCCTAAAGCTCTCCCCTGTTTGCAGCCTAATTAGCTGATTAGGTCCACCTGGCCCAACTCAGCTCTTGCAGGGCCAGTGTGGGGAGCACACCCCATCACACATTGCTATGAAACTCAGTTTGTGATCAATTTGAAGGCCTTATTCAAACAACACGCACATTAACTTTAGTAGCAGTTGTGTTTGAATGAGGACTGGGGCATCCATTACCTGAAAATTTAATAATGACTTCAGCCAATAAACCTATTTCATTACCAGGGTTACAAAACTAACAGGGCTCACATTGAGGTGGTACATGTCAGCATGGATATATCTCCGATTGGAGCTGGGGGTGCGATTCTCCGCTGAGGAAACATATCCACATCAGTGGTGATTGAGTTAGCATATTAAAAATAGAGTGTAGCCATGGCAGCAGGGCTGGCAGGATAGGCTAGCCACTCTAATTATGTACCCACCCAAGATATCATAGGCACATAATTAGGGCGGCTAGCCCGTCCACCTCTCATGCTGCCATGGCAACACTATTTTTAGCATAGAGCTAGCACAGGTATGTGTCCTTGACCTGGAAATCACATCTCCAGCTCCAAGTGCAGACATACCCTATGGCATACCGACATCTCTACCAAGGTGACACTTGTGCTACAAAATCTGAGCTTTCATTTTTTTTTTAAAAGTACATTTTCAGCTTTTGTGATTGTAAATAAAGCCTTGGAAATGTGAACTGAGTGTAATTGAAACAATGACATCTGCCTGAGTTTGCACAGAGTTTTCAACAATAACTATGAAGTCTAAACTGCCCCATTTGTCTCAGTGAGATGCAGTGGCAGAAGTAGCATCCTAAGTCAGTAGGTGCACTCAGCCTCCTCCTCACCCCACTGAGGGGGCACCAACCAACCTCAGCAGTACCCTCCTCCCCAGCACCACAATCCTAATCCCAGCCCGGTGTGGAGGGAAGGCCTGGGAGAAAAGGGGTTGGGCTGGAGACT